TGACACCTTTTAACCGGACATCGGTTTAACTGGACTACACTTGGCAGAAGAGACATCTCTTTAACCAGACAATTTTTATCAGCAAATTGTTTCACCCGGACAGGATCGGCAGGAAGTGTGGGGTACTGAAATGACTTTTTTAGTGGGAAAGATATGAGACCAGTGATGAGGTGTTTAGTTTTACTATTTTTTGTAATAATCATTATTGGCTTATATAGTATCACAGAATAAAGAGTAGAGCATTAACAAGTTTTAGGATCTAACAACCTCCTGAACTCAACCTAGGTGTTCTATGAAATTTGTGGGAACATGACTGTTTAATCCGTTGTAAATGTTGTGCCCCTTGCTTATGCATTTAGAGTCAATTTGTTAAACATACTGCAATAGTTTATTTTTATTTTAAAAACTACTTGTAGGAATTTTTTTTTCAATTTAACTGTAACTGTTTCTAGAATCTAACATGGGTGGACTATCCGAAGTATATAATTGACACTTACTACAAACTAGAGGTAAAATAAAATGTCATACATGATTGATTGTTCAATGCTTTTCATCAGCATCGTGTGGAATCCATTGTGTGCATGTAAATGTTTGCATGACTGTGATTGGAGTTTTCTTAAAAAATCTTTTAAAGCTTCTGAAAGTGGGTTTTTGTGTCTTTAAAGTTGGTGGAAAATGAGTTATTGCAATGTTTGTGTTTGATGTCTGTGTAAGGCCGTTGACACACGGGAAGACTGTTTTCCAACTGAAATCGGCAACCAGTTGGACAAACTAGTCGCCTACGTCCCGACCAATGTAGTTAGGTGGGACAGTGCACACGGTGCGACTGCGATGCGACCAGTTGAGGACCAGTCGGCGATCAGTCGTTAAGCAACCGGACCTGCCGGTTGCTAGGTGATTTCAGTCGCCTGGTTTGAACAACTTTTTGCATATTTGTATTGCGCTTTTCAAGGATCAGGTATACCAACTGCGATAACTCTTCGTAAGCACTTTTTGACATCCTGTACATAGACTGAAATTTTGCGTCTGTTTCTCGTAATGCAGCAGCAGCTACAAAGAGCCTACATTAAATTTTTGATTTAACATAAGGATGTACCCAACACCTTCTACTCTACGCTTTCTTGATTGCTTATAAAACACCAGGGCTTCTTCATCACTATTACTCATTTCAAACACCATACACAGTACACAGTATCGTTATAACAAAATTAGAACTCATTCACTGTCTCAACTCAATTATAGTCGCGCCCGTGTGCGGATTTAACCAACGCAACTGCAACCGTAATCGTGTCACAAAACAGTTGGTTCAACTTTAGTTGAGTTTCAGTCTTCCCGTGTGTCGCCTTAAGGGTGTGCTATTTTTTTTTTTTTTTGAGGGACTGATTTCATGGATTGATATGAATTAGAATGCTAGAGAGAAAAATCAGTATTTGATTACCGAACCCGTGAATACTTTGTAAGAAACCAATTAGTATGAAGGATAGGACACGCAAATAAAATACTTAAGAAAAGAGTATCAGTCTGTTGATAGCACATTGATCACAATATACTTGATTTCATACAAATTAAAATTTTGCACTTCCAAAGGGCTTCTTCAGAAGTAATTATAAGAGAGAGGAGATAATTCCTTGGATGGGATCTTCTCCAGCCTCGGACAGACAAAAAAAATCTAGTTTAATGTTCAAGGCACTTTTAAGGTGCTGTCAACTGTCCGGAACTCTATTCTTAGACTATAGTTCGGCCGCTTAGATAGCGACCTCCTCTAGCATTGGTTAGCATTAGTGCGCAGGTCGCTATCTGAGCGGCCAAACTATAGTTACATTTGTATCCGTTTCTTCTTCCTGAATGCAACAAATCATTGAATAATTAGTGATATGTATCCTTAGTTCAATGATACTATTATTAGTAAATCCACAGAACTATTATTAGTAGACTGCATTAAAATGGTCCTGCAGTAGACCTGTAGCCTCTTCCAACACAAGGCCCGGGCGAGACAAAAGTGGCAGCAACGCTGTCCCGTCAAACCGAAACAGCTGGTGCACTAATTTATAATGGATGGAATAGGAATTTTGTATGTTAACGATTTGTTATTTCTGTTATGAGCCGTTGCCATACACCAACGCCTCTAACACGGCCTTGTGTTAGATGAGGCTATGGTAGACCGCATTAAAATGTCCAATGTACTTAATGGTGTATTTTGGTCAGATGTTTTTTTTAAAATCCATCAGCTGTTAATAGTCAATTCTACTCTCTGCTGTTGAAAAATCAAGGCTGTGTCATAAAGTTTGTTCGATGAAATGTACGGTAGTTAATACATTAGTGTATCATATTTTTAGTCTTCATAAAGTAATTTTGTGACGTGATCATGAAGTTCCTGTAGGACTATATTCACCTCAGCTTAAGCTTTGTCAAATCTCAACATGTTTCTTGGCCGATTTAGAATTTGCTTTCCCATCATTCAATCACAAATTCTATTCTGGTTTTGGAGGGAGTTTTAGATCTTGAATGCTGGAATATTTGTGTTCTTCACTATGCATAAAATATTAATCTAAGGTGTTTTTGTTCATTTAATTTTTTTACACTTTTGTTAAATAATGCTAAACATATTGTAAGGATGAATCAAATATATAAACAGTTACATATTTTAAATACTGTACCCAGATACTATCAATCAACTTTGGATTGTAAGTTGACTTCTTATCCTACAGTTTAACCTTAATCATGTTTTCCTCTGTGTTCCATGTTTTTTCCCAAGATTTTTGTAGGTCAACTTTATAGTATGTGGTTATGACACTAAAGTATAATCAATAACTTAGTTTTAAATAATTTTGTTGTTTTAACAACGCAACAACAAAATTAGAAGAATGGAATGACTAAACTTACTCTACATTACAGTCAAAAACTTACCTTAAAATTTTAATCTACTTATCTACAGGGATAATAACTGTATACAGTATATGGCAAGTGTTTTATTTTAATAATACTTAAACCAACAGAACCTCAAAGATAATAGAGCAATTTTTGAAATTTGCTGTATCTACTACTATTTATGCTAATTCTAAAATATGAAAATAATAAAAAAAACACATACATTTTATGCTTACTTATTATTATTTTATCGTAGACAACCATATAATTTTTACATTATTCAAAAATGTTAACTAGTTTGTAAAATATACAATTCCATTTAAGTCTCATATAACTTTGTTTACAAAATAATGTGGCATTTTTCATTTTTGTTTTATAAATTTTTTAAATAAATTAAAAATAACAATGTTTTGTTTTTGCAGAGATTTCTCAGATTTTGGGATGACAAAGCCAGCTGGTATCCAAGTTGGAATGACGCTTCCTCACTTCAAGTTGAATATGTCAAAGTCACAGCTTTATAGAGATAGTTCCAAAACTATATCATATTTTATAATATTTATAATGAATATACAATACTTTCCTTCGTTTGTGTTTTTATTGAATGCTTACCCAGCTATTGAAAGATGATTCAACAATTGAGACATGTAACAGCAGTTGATACTAGCTGTTACTGTGTCAATTTTTTTCAAATTGGGGGTTGAGATTTCGATCATGTTCAAACTGAAACTACGAATTAACCACACACTAAAATAATACATAACAAGATTTAACAGCACACATATTGATCGGGAACGGTATTGATCATAAACATAAACAAATTATGCCACTGGCAAATTATGAAAGCAAATCAATCATCATTTTAGAAGTGTCAAAAAACGTGCAAACTATAATTGATTTATTTAATATTTTATATTAACTTACAACGATCAAGAACCAGTTTACAATAAATATACAATGATGATTTATTGTAACTTAAAAATTAAATACAAAAGTCGTAAATTTTTCTTGAAAATAATGAAAATGACATGCATTACAAGTGAATTAAATTGATCAGTAACAAAATAGGTACCGGAAAACAACGGGCTTAACTAACTAAAATATTTACAAAAATGAGCTCATTTCATATTAGGTAAAAATCATATTAAATAGAAATTTCCAAAACAAATCAATAAATAACAACCAATGAACCATGAACAACAAACAAGAAGATTACTCGTATTAATACTTATTTAGAAGTATATGACGTAATGATCCATACCGTTTCTGTTTTAATAACCGTGATTAGCGGTTAGATGTTTCCTGAGGATTACATTGGAACGTTGAGACCCGTTGATGCGAATTCCTGGGGGAATTTTAGTAACGCCATACATATGTTGGCACTCCCCGTCATAGACTTCACCATGCACAATTTGAAAATGATTGCTTCAGCCATCTAGGAGATAGTTTGCGCATGACGAAAATGCAAGAGTCAACGTATAAGAGCTTAGCTCGCTTTGCTCAATCAAGTAGCCAACAATGTCAAAATAAACAAATAAACACGCACGCATTGTTGTCATTAACAGCTATTTCAATCAAGGCAAACAGGCAAAACGCCTGTTTAGTTTTGGGCCATTACTTTTAAACACTTAAAAACATTTAAAAGTATTTCAAGAATTAATAATCTACTATTTTTTGTTAGTACTATGTTTGATGGACCATTTCTAAATAAAAGTGCATTACTACGCGTGCACTATAACCACCGATCTACCAATACTATTTTTTTACCATAGCTATGGTATAACTAGAGATAATACCACTAATTTTAACTATTAATATTTCACTATTACCCATTCTTCATAACCATTTCTGAGCCTTAGCTGCTTATATAACATCTGAGGCCTGCAAGGTTAAAAGAGGCCGCCAACCTCTTAAACAACGTTTGATGTGATGTCGTATCTATTTTAACAAAAGCATTCCAAAAGGGGACGAAACCGTTTCCGCAATATTTTCCCCAACAAATCTTGGATGGGGAGAGTTAAGTTCTCGTGTTACTTATTTGCATGGCAGATACAATCGTAAGGTAAGAAACCAACATAATCACCTTCATTACAGATAAGGAAAACGGCAAACTCGTCCGGGACCGGTCTCGACGCCTACTTCACGGCCGACGGCCAGTCCTCAATCATGGGGCTCTGTGTTACAGCGCGAGTGTTTTTTGTGTTTGTTGGTTTTGTGCAGTGTCATAGGCATCTGGATTCGGGAAAGGACTTAGCTTTTAATCGAGGTATGATGTCTTTCTATTTGTTTACCAAATATTCATGTAGTTATGTTTACAGACTTCGGTTTACCGAGTTACCTATATATTTGGAGAGATTAGTGAACGATTTTTGAATTCTCGAATATGAATTTGTTTTATGGATTTTTATCATAGTTTTTACTTTCAACGTCTGGTTGTTTGGCAGATTAGCAAGTTGATTAACATTTGCATCTGGCTGGAATTAGATTGTAATCGAGGTATGATTTATGTGTATTTGTCACAGTTTGAATACCGTATCAATCCATGCAGTTGTGTATACTGTCGGTGTATTTATTGTCAATGCATTTATTTGGGTATTATAGGGGTTTGTATTCCAATATTTAAATTAAATAGTTGGTGTAACCAAAGGCTAATTGTCAAACACAGTTTTAGAATTAATATAAACTAAAATCAATTTGTAGGGTTGTTCATGTTGTAAAGCTTAACCAAACAATATTGTTCGTATTAATATTGATAGTATTAGGATATTTATTCGTTGAAACTCTGTAAATTACTCAATTGTTGATAAGTTTTATGTACTGTACTCCTTTTACTGTGTATATCCTATGTATATGACCTATTTAGACCTATCTCTAGATCAAGGTAGACGTAAATATTCATAGGGACTTTTGTAAAAATAATGTGTCTTTTGACTGAATTTTTAATGTATTTTCATTATATTAACCACCAATGAAATGTCACAAAGTTACACGATTTTCTGTAATACAGAATTAGGATATACTTATTCCTATTTCATTACCGACCTAATGCTCTATCCCCAATTTTTCTTCTTCTTTTTTAAGTTCTGTGTTGGGGATTTTAGGATTACATGTTAATTTAGCTTCACATTAAAAACAGCATTGTTTATTTTGTATATCAAAACTCAAATTTAACTAAGACATGGGTTTTATTCATTCTAAACACAACTATGAAAAAGGTAAGAAAAACAATTTAGGAAAAACGATACATCGTGATTCTTGTCAGGCAATTTAAGCAATTCAAATAATAAAACACGAGAGGGTTCTTGTGCAAATTGAGTTCAAAACCTAATTCCAAGGTAAAAATAATAATGCAATACCTTTTACTTTGCAAAGTTCTAGATCTACACCATAAAGACTGAAGAGTGATTTACCTACCTCAATGCTATTATAAAAGAGAAGCCTATTTTAAATCCATTTCCATACACTGGGTCTGTCTCTTGTTTACGATCTGACTGTGGTTAATCATTCAACTAAATGATCAGCTGTTGGATTACAATTCATATTTTTTAAACCAATTCATTATACAGCAAGTTTGTCAGTAACACTGGATCTTAGAAAATGAACTCTAGAATAATTTAAACGCAATGGGGCGAAGCCCTTAAAGAATTACCGTTTTCGTTGCCATCCGCAGGTGCAATGGATCATAAGCTTTAAAATGAAACCTCAATCGTGAAAATATGTTAAGTAGGACAACTTAAAAAGGGATGTTACAGAAAAAACCCTTATAGTATGTAGTAGATAGATTTTAGATAGATTAAAATCACCTGACAAGAATCAGGATGTATCGTTTTTCATCAATTGTTTTTTTACCTTTTTCATAGTATTTAGATAGATTTACATAACTATGCTTTGTTCATGTTTCTTAATTTTTGTTGTACTATAGAAAAAACAGCTGATTTCATAACATGCATTGCAGGTTGAAAGTAGTTACTTTTCTCCCTAGGGAGTAACAATCAGCTGGAGTCGATGACGTCAGCGGCACATTTTGGTTATTTTGTTAACTTCGATTGTAAGCAGTCGGCTGTATGGAACTATCTGTTGTATCGATTGTAGTTCATTGTTGCATTGTTGTCGTTGTAGGATTCAAATTTGTTTTCGTTGAATCTAAGAAGGTAGATGACAAGGTGTGACAGATTACTGCACTGAGAGATTATTAAGAACCGCAAGAAAACTATTTATGTATCAATAGCTCACACGAATACTTGAACAGAACCGGTGTGGATCATAAACATAAACAAATGACGTCGCTAGCCCGAATCCTATACTAATAGCATTAAAACATTTGATTTCGAAAATTTCGTTTAAGCAATGATAGATAATACGTATTTTTTCGGGCCAGCAACATCATTTGTTTATGTTTCTGATCCATACCGGGTCTGTTCTAGTATTCGTGATAGTTGAACATCGATATCAATCAATAGTTAATGGAACAAAACACAATCGTCATAGTAGACGAAATGAATTTACCTTACTAAACAGCTGCTTGTTCCAATAGAAAAATTGTAAACAAGATGGAAATAACTTTGCTATAACAATTATTTTTGTTTTGTGCCTTAGTTTGCTTTAATGATATAAAATTATTGTGTAATATGACAATAAGTGAAGTTCATTCACAAGGGCAAAAAGTGTCTTTTCAACCCTAACTCACTTTCCAAACTAGGCTTCGCCTTGGTCGTGATACTTAAGCTGGTGTCGAAAAGAGTCACTTTACGCCCTAGTGATGTAAACAATTTCACTTTCAAACAGCTGATTTAAACAAATCCTACGAATCCTACCACCCAAAATTATAAGTGGGGAAGTATGGATGTTTGTGAATTCGTTTGGTTTGATATTACACGACGTGAAAACTACTGGACCAATTAATTGATCTTTAGGGAAAAAATAGTAATTGATTGTCCAACTTACCAAAAATTTTCATAATTTATATTTTAGCTACCAAATCATGTAGTACAAAGCAGCAATATTATAATACTAGACTTAATTTATTAGTAGCCTAAACTAGAAGGCAAGTTTGATTAGAATTCTTCTACCTAGTACCTACGTTATGTACGCATTTACAATGCTGACGATAATCGTTCGGGAATTCCACGTGAGATACGAATTATTGCTTGTTTAGCTAAAACTGGCTGATGGACGTGTGGTTTTGTTTTAATTATACAGGGTGTCCCGGAACTCTCTACCAATATTTTAGGGCATTGATCCTGGGTAAGAAGCGTACCTAAATATCATATTTAAATTGTCCGGAAGTCCTTAGTTACTCACACAGCCGCCATTTTGTTTTTTTTCAGTTATTATTTTTTTTCTAAAGAATGGTTAAACATACGAAATGGAAACTTTGTACAAACATTTATGCCAACTAGACAAAGCTACAAAAAAATTATGAAGAATTTTCAAATTCATAAAACAAAATGGCGGCCATTTAAAATTTTCATTCTTAAATAACTCAAAAACCATTGATTTTACATAAGTTTTAAATGACCGCCATTTTGTTTTATGAATTTGAAAAATCGTGATAATTTTTTGGTAGCTTTGTTTAGTTGTCATAAATGTTTGTGCAAAGTTTCCATTTCGTATGTTTAACCATTCTTTAGAAAACAATTAATAACTGAAAAAAACAAAATGGCGGCTGTGTGAGTAACTAAGGACTTCCGGACAATTTAAATATGATATTTAGGTATGTTTCTTACCCAGGAGCAATGCCCTAAAATATTGGTAGAGAGTTCCGGGACACCCTGTATATTATAAATAATTCTCAATGAAGAGGATTCCCAGAAAAGTTATCCTCATCTACTATATGACTTTTAAACTATTTTGTAATATGAAAAGACATCCTATTCCTATACATGATCAATGTTTGCTCGCACAGTATGTATGCATGCTTACACAAAGACCTCGAAAACGGCTTCGACGGTTTCCTTCAAATGCTGTAAATAATTTATTTCTGGCACAAACGACAGCCACTACCTCAGGAAAGTTCTTATTTCACTACACGACTCATTTGAATTTACATTGTCCTCATGGGTTGCCAAGTAACTATGTGGTTGAACAAAATAACAAAGAAAAGTAAACAAGACTTGTAGCTGGTAACAAGCCATCCACAGTAACTAGCAAATTAGAATGTACAGTACAAATTATAAAGGTGGGCAGAGGCTACTCGCAATGATCGACAAACGCTTACCGTACGTCAAGCGAAACCTGACAACCTAGACTACTATAAGTGATTGGTGATATTGTTGTATATCTGTGTGGTGATATGACTCAGCTACTACCGGTGCAGGATCAAGCTTTATTCATGCCATCTTATCTTTCAAATCGGTGGTATCACATGGATGTTTCGCATACGAACACATTCAAAACAATTTTCAACTAAAAACTATCGTGCGTCAATCCGGAGAAGATCAGCCATTTTCGTAATGATCTTACTAACGATAAACATAACACACTAACATACTACTAACATAACATACTAACGTAATGCTCATGGAACGATAAAATAGGAAGATGATATTCTTTTCTTTACGATTCATATAAATAATAATACTAATAATATCGTAGAAATATACAAAGCTGTTCGTATCATGGCAAGAAGAGGTGCTAACATGGCTACTGACACCCTTAATGAATTGGATAAGCTGCATAGTCCTGTAACATTCATTCGTGTCCTAAACAAACCTACAATAACCGCAATACATGTATTGAGTTCTGGTGAATGCCAATCTGTTGAAAACATCCTCAGATTAGCCAAAGGATGTAGAGTTATGTAACGCCACAAACTTTGGACCGATGCAGTATTAGGTGCTATTGGCACTGTACACAATATTTTATACGAACGTGAAGAAGTCTTATCGCATTTTAAAATGCAGCTTTTATGTGTATTAGTCGAATTTAGTAATTATAGAGGACTCACATTACACAATAATGTAGTACCGATTGTCCCTATTGTAACTAAATCTGTAAATCGTGGCATTAAGTGTACCCGAAAAACATTTTTATTGACACTTTTCACAAATCCAAGGCATGACTCTGAACCAAGCAGTTGTTGATAATGACCAAGATAATTCGGTGCTGGAAAATTGTATTGTGGGGGTAGTCAAAGATAAACGTTTGGTGTGATTGTTGTGACGATTTTTGAATTTTTGTTTGAAATGTTCACATTCGTTGAAATTAATTAACCAATCAATTAAAGTTATCCCTACACAATTTTTGTCTATTTGAAATTGTAGGTCAAAATAGTTTTGAAGCTTTATGGTGGGGGTCAATGGTAATATAACACCCTGATGACTCCGCTCAATTTTGTGGACGCGTCTGCAAACGCTACCTAGTAGCATAGATGAAGTCTAGTAGTTTAAACTTAGTATATTGTCCTTTTACCTCTTAACAAAACTGTACAACCCCCATACCGTATAAATTACGTTTTAAAAGTTATTGCAACTTTTGTGATTTTCCAAATACAATATCACAATACCCAATTCCAAGTACACGTCATTCCCGCCGTTAACCCATTTACTTATTTTCTCAAAATTGGGTAGGTTTAGCGACATCAGTGATTTCCCTCCAGTTGTCAGTTATTTATAAAATCCTATTTTCAAATTAAATTTATTCTGCTTATAAGACATCGTAGAAGCGAAATAAACTTAAGAAAATTATTACTAAAGGCTAGTATAGGAAAGAACGTGATTTATTTTAATGCTGAAGTACATTATCCCTCGTTTTCCTTGAACCTTGTGATTTCCTGCTTTCCTTAAGGACGCAAAAAGGTTTAGTGCAAAAACCTTTGCATGAAACCAAAGAAAGTATTGTTCTTCTTTGGAGAATGTTGTTACGTTCGTGATTATGAATACGTTAATGTTAAATTGACTGATAAAAGTTGATAATCTTTACAAATGATACGTTAGAAGTCTCACCCTAAAAAGCTTTTACAGAACAACAAAATATTATTTTACAAAAGATATTACTTCTAATTATTAAAAACAATCAACATTTTTTCTCAATCTGTATTCATCTAATTGTTACAGACATTATATTGATTAGAGTGGTTTGTAGGAGATGAATTAGTGAATTCTGATTTGTATCAGTTACATACCTGGAATAAACATCATTAAAAATAATTCAACTGGAAAAATGTGTTTTCAGATCCCTAAATATATGATTTACTTGACAAAGTTTACAGATTAATGATACTGATGTACATGTATTTTAACCCAAATTACTACGAATAAAAAATTGAGTGAGATGACTACTTATATTATAGCTTTGTCAAGGGCAAAGACCAGTTAATTGATCGATTGGGCACATCGAGTTGAACTTTTCCTCTGATGTTGTAGGTGTGTTGTTCTGTTGGTTTTGTGAGGGACAGGTTTTTTTCCTTCATGTAGGTCAAACTGAGCAATATACTGACTATTAACCAGTCTGCTGGAAGTAGGCCTACTATAGTCTTGGTTACAATCTAAGTTATTCAGCAGGTTCGATTAGCCTTAGAGTTTCTTTCTGCTGCTGGAGAAGAATGGTATTACCTCCAGAGAAATGTCTCCACAGCAAGAGGCCATACACGATGTGGGTGTGAAAGAGTGCATAGTACACCTCTATGATATGTTTCTTAGACACAGTAAAGGTTTTAGACGCCTAAGGAGAAAAGTCACCCTAGCAAGTTTAAGGCAGATTCTGTATGGACATACAGAATCTGCCTTAAACTTGCTAGGGTGACTTTTGATCCAGGTAAGTTTCGGGTCTAGGGTGTAGCCTAAGAGTTTAATCTCATTTAGGTAATTTGTCAAGCTAGGGACAAGACTGGACGTAATTTCCTAGGTCTTGGCTTCGTTTAGGCTCAGTTTATTTGACAACAACCACTGCTTAGCAAGACTGGTTATATATTCGGTGTCAGATACTAGCTTTTCTGATGACAAAGGGTTTGATGATAGGGGTTTTCCAGATGGCAAAGATTGCGATTGGTGTTGTCAGCAAAAAATTATGTTTCGCAACAAATTAGAAAACCAGGCACAGAAGTCCAATGACTGAGCCCTGAGGAACTCCATGTTATTGCCAGTAGGTTTGAGTTTCCCCCATCAAGTGTTAAAATTTGCCTCTTGCCAGACAGATAAGAACTGAAGGTAGAAAGCATCTGATCATTTAAACCGTATGCTCTAGAGTTTTCAATGAATAGGGCATAACGGACAGAGTCGAATGCCTTGTTCAAATCTGCAAGAGCTAGATCAGTGGATTCCTTGGTCTCAAAAGAGTCAAGCAGAGATGACACCAGCTGAGACATAGCAGTAACAGTTGACCTCCGGCACCTAAAGCCATGTTGGGCGTTCAAAAAAGTGCATTATCAAAGGAATGCGACAAGTTGGAACTTCTTGGCTGTTTCCATGATAGGCTAGTACATGGATGACAGATATAGGTCTATAGCTTTTTAGAGCGGCTGGATCCCCCTTTTTGAAAACGGGCATAGTTCTCGAAAGCTTCAGGATATACGGGAAGCACCCCTCTTGTAGACATCTATTTATCGCATGGCTTAAGGGGTCAGCAGTGACGTACATTTTAGACATGCCGTCAAGAAACTTCTTATTCTTAAACAGTTTTATCAACTTTACGATCTCACCGGAGCTAACATAAATCCACCTTGAAATTCTGTGGTGCCGTTTCTTAGTGTATAAACGGGTAGACATACATCATCCATTGATGAACTAAAACTAGCATATTCATGCAATACTCTTTACAGGTAGACCTCCAAGTGAAGATGTTTCAAACTATCTTCACTCCTCTTCAGCTTCCAGAGAATCTCCTCTTAGGTTCTCTCAGATCAGGTCACGGAGACAAACGAAGAATGGCAATTCTGAATTCAGTTGGGTCCATAGATTTACTATAACGGACAACCAACCCGTAAGTTTCACACTCATTTTCGAAATTTTATGTAAATTCATTACCGATATGGTTTATCAGATTTGAAAGTTATAATTAGGCCTATCTAGAATTTCTGGCTGGGGTTGGATTTTATTTTTGGTTGGATTAGTTTAGGTTAGGTCATGGCCTAGTCGTAACCTAATGCTTAAATTGTGGATTGTTATACAAATATAGTGGTAGGAAATTCACGGAAAATGTCCCCTTTGATCAATTTTTTAATCTCCATGAACTACATTGTTATTTTTAGTTTATAAAGTTACCAAGCAAGATTACAATGTTGATCCTGAGCCTCTCTAATCAAACAATTATTTCCTGCTAGGATAGTACAGGGTTTAAAAAAGAAACACAGATTGTTGTTTTTCAAGATTGATAAAGCCTAGACCAATTTGTGACAAATATTGACGAATACAAAGCTGGACATATTGTTACAGACTAGCTTAACCAAAGAGACGGCATTCGTGTGGCAGGATAGTACCAAGAGGTTGAAACACGCCTTAGAAAATGACGCTGTCATCCAATTCCTGAAGCCTACGGGCTTGAGGATAGCGATACCAGGTAGTTATTTAAAATTTGTTCGGCTTTACTTAAAACAAAATCTATGTGTCTTAAGGATACAGGATTATCAAATAGATAAACGCTGCAACAATTCCATATAACACTTATCCTCACAAACAAGTTGTTTAATTGACATTGAACCTTGCAAAAACCAATGAAAACTAGGAATACTGGAATACTGGAATACTGGAATACTTACATTTAGATTTTTTAAACTTTTAACGAAAACAATCCTTAATTAATATCGAGCCTTAATACTCATTAATATTTTCAGCAAACAGTGTAAATATGAAGATCGTCGATTTTCGCGCCAAACTAAATGACGAATTTCGCACCAATGAGGGTGGACATTTTCTAGTCAATAACTACAAAAGAGATGGCATGTGGATCTTTGAAATTCCTCAGCTGAAACTGAAAAACAAAGACCAACTGTATTACTGGATGCGACTGGCTCTCAGTAAAGAAGCTTTCGACGTTGTTGTCAAAGGGGTTGTGGAGATAACTAGTGAGTATGTATTATTTACCCTATACTATCCTATTCTATACTACAGGGATAATCATAAGGAATGTTGCAGAAAGAAACGGTTGTTACGTCTGTTTTCGTGATTTAAAATGGCCGATTGTTACACCAAAAAGGCCGGGTGTATAAGTTTGTTTTGTTAAGGTTATGTTTTGTTTCAGTTACATGGTTAAGTACCACGAAGCCTGTAAACAAAATTGAAGAATATCAACAAGAATCGAAACTATGGCTGCAAAAATCTCTGTTTTTTGTTTGTTTTCTAAGCTTTATTGCTTGTAAAATAACTGCAGTTTGGACGGGTTTCGTCGCAAACGCTTGCGTAAACCGTAGAATGCGGTATGTGAGGTTCCCTACCAGCTTTGACTATCGAGGTTTTTGGCTTTGATTCTCTCTATAGCGTCTGTCCGGTCTGAGGACACTCTTCCCGACACACAAGCATCCAGTTGTTTTGAATTGTCTTATCCAATAAGCTATGCAGTTCCAATATGGAGCATTCTTCCTAAATTTGGTCGGAAAGTTCCACTGAACTCTAACAATCTGTAGTATAGTACGAAAAATATTCTAAAAAAATAAATGTTTTTATTGTTTTGTAGTAGCAATTTGTTGGCAGGCTTCATGGCACTCAACTGACACAAAACATATCCTTGTCAAAACTAGGTTATAAACTCGTCCTTTTCATAGGTATAATAATCAGCTTTTTGAATTCATGAAAACGGACGTACCAACTAGTGTTAGACCATTATTTTTTAATAACCCTGTATAACTTAACTCCTATAACTGTATAACACCTTAGGTGAGTCGGTGGCTCAGTCGGTAGCGCCATGGACTTCAGGCCCAAGGCAGCGCTGTCCTGGGCTCGGATCCTGGTCACTGTCATTACCTTTTTTCAGTACAGCCATTGAATATATAACACTATAGTAGTAACACTAAGATTATATATTCAATTGTTCAGTTCACCCTTGTACCGGCTCACCCCTTGCTTTGCTGGATACGTTCCACGCACAGGTCCATCGCCTATGTGGACGGGCGAATGCAAGGTTAAAACAAGCCCTCAACCCTAAAAGACCGCGAGCACGATTTTCGCACGATGATGATTAAAGTTGGCCCAACGAGTTCCTCTGATTTTTCTAAATATTTTTATGCTATGTTTTATGCAAAAATAAGATTTCAGCTAGGCTCTGGTATAAGGTTACTGGGAAAATTCGAGTTCCTTTAGAAACCTTGAAATAAAGTTTTAATATCTTTAACATAGGCCTTATTGATTATAACCATGGTGGTTTTACAAAAGAGTCATAACATATAGTTATAACATACCATCTTCAGCACACTAGTGAATTACAAAATAACTTAACCTTCGGGAATGTTAACTGAACATTGTTATTGTTCTTTCGAAACATATATATTAAAGTCAGTCTTATTTAAAGTATGTTAAAATTGTTCAAGAGCTTGGAAAACATTACTAGATTTCCTTTACTGTAGTAATTACATAAAACGTATACCATGTGCCTTGTGTTTATTTCTATACTCTTTAATTGGTCGGTCCACTCTCTCAGGTGGGAACCCCCATGTTAGTGACCCCCAAGGTGAGCCCATCCCGTTTAGACCGACATCCCCTGTTCTCTCGCCTCAAAACTACGGGGTGAGCAATTCCCCGGCTAACAACAGAGGAGGTTTTGCTTGGAACCACCAGTTTACCATCAACGCGACGTATAGTGTGAGTGATCTTTGGAATTGTTACCTAAGCATGTGATAAATATAATTTTAAAAGAAAATAATATTATTCTATGTATTTACTCAAGTTACGGAAATTTTATGTTTTAATATGTTTGAGCAACAATATTGAATGTGTACTAAATTCATTTCTAGGAATTATGTAACATTAGATGGACGTCATTCCTTTATTAAGTAAGGCCATTGATAACTTTATTTCGATTTATTTGAATGAATAAATATTATATCGAGTATTGTACAGGGTGGCCGAAAATTCCCTTTACACAATATTGCAGGACTTATTACACTGTTATAAATACGACTGACCAGAAAATATGTTTACGTGAGTAGTAAGGTAACAGTAGAAAGAAGAATCAAGCATCATACCTTCCAACATGACATTGATAGACTTAAATCATCATTGCTGTATTGACTAACGTGTGTTTCTCCTTAAGAATATAAAATGTTATCTTGTTCCAGAATACATTCACAAAGGAGTTTGCTACAAACTGGCAACAGCACGCAGAGTTTATAAAACGATTTTTAGAAAAGAATATTAACTTTCAATTTCAAACACCAAGCGGTTTAATTATTTCTATTCCAGGTAAATTAGTTGAGGTTACTTAGTTTACTTGTGTAATTATTGTAGTTGTAGAACATCAAGTTTTATTGTGATTATTGTATTTTAAGAATTCATTGCCATTCCTAAAAGTAACTATGTTTTTAAAACTGTCATAAACAGCTCCTGAACAGATTTGGTAAAAAATACAACAGTAAACGAAATACTAATTTGAAACTTATATTATTCCAATTTAGTTTCCTCTTTCAGTAAATTTATGTTACAATTTCACTATCATGACTAAAAAATCAATATAGTTTTTTAAAACAGTACTGCCTTTGTTTAATAATAGAGTTTAATTATGTAGTTGAAAAACACGAGGCAATTTCAAGAATACTTTGTAATCCAAACCATCAAAATGTTTTTAGACAAAAGATTAATACTTTGTAAGTCAATCACTCAAACAATGTACGTTAAGTAGATGGCTTTTGCAAACAATACTACTAGAGTAAAATTTTACCTTAAATCTTTTTATATTTTTTCAGATGACAGTTTACTTGTCTCGGATTTTCGCCTTAAACTGAACGATGAGTTCAGGGAAAATGATTTAGGACACTTCGCCCCGACACTGTACAAGAATGGTAACATGTGGACCTACTATATTCCTCAGCTCCGCATACAACAAGGAGACAGGGTCTACTACCAAATGATGGTCAAGAGGATCAAGGACGGGTTTGATGCCATCGTTAGAGGACTTCTTGAAATAAGGCGTAAGTATTATTTATATGAATTTGTATACATAAAGTATAAATATGACAAACCATATTCTAAGAATGCAATAAATAAACTGCTCAATTATTATTATTATTATTGTTAAAATGGGTCAGTGTTGTAGTATACTATGACAATACATTTGTATTTACCTTTAATTAAATCATTTGCTATGACGCTGATTTGTTGAGGTGAGAATACAGAACAGGATTTGGTTGATAAGTGTGCAGCTTACGATTTTCTCTAAAGTTCGTGATCCTTTTTAGATGTACAGATGATCCAAATTCCAAACTAGTTTGATTACTTTATGATGACCATACATAGGGGTGTTGTCTCTTATGAGGTGAATTAAGTGAATAGTGAGCCTATCATGAAGATGACTTAATGTAACTTCATAAGAGACAACACTTCCGTTATATGTATGGTCATCGTAAAGTACTGGCTAGTTTCCATTAGTTAATACATTGCAAATTTACTAATAACGTTCAGGTCAGCTAACAACGTTAATTTTAAACTTTGTTTAACATAGGCTATTTCATTCTAATCACAATATGTGCGTTTCACAGAAGGAGATCCACATACGACGTCCAATACGGTTACCCAGACATCGGGTTCATACCAATATAATCAGAAGGGTCAAGTATCCAACACATACTCTCCAGTAGGAAATGTACAACAACCAATAATAAATCAACAGCAGCACATAGGAAACATACCACAGCCGATTGGAGTAATAAAACAACCTGTAGGAAATACGCAACAATTATCAAACGTAAACCCAATAGTGATTGTGCAACAACCAAGTGGAAATGTTCAACAATCAACAGGAAACGTACAACAGCCAATGGGAAATGTACAGAAGCCAATAGTAAATGGCCAGCAGCCAATAGTAAATGCCCAGCAGCCAATAGTAAATGTACAAAGACCTACTATTCCTTCTAACGGTGACCAGTTGGAAATAAGTGATAGATTTGGAGATTTTGATGGCAGTGATAGGCAAGAATTTAAGTGGAACCACAAGTTCAGCAGTATAAATTTAAACAAAACGTCAGAGGTAAGGTAATTGTTCTGTTTAATTCATTACAAATAAACATGGAGTTAAAGTAATTAAATTATAATTTATAATCGTGTCCTGAATCATGACTACTGCAAATTCATTTGTCATTAAGAACTTATATAAAACATAGAAACTGCAGTAATATATTATATAATATATGCCTAAGCTAGATAATTAAAATTTGAAATGACAACAATTTCATTTAAACTTTTACAGGCAGGAATCACCCCGAGCTCTGGTAACTGGGCAGATCAAGCAGACGAATATTTCAAGAAAACACTAGACAGGGATATCAACTTTGAGTTTTTAAATCCTTCTGGTCTGAGGATTTTACTATCTGGTAAGCAAAAGCTGTACATAAGTACTAAAATTGATACCTGAAATCATATTTAATTTATCAAACAAATCAATAGCTAAGGATGGACATTGAAGTATTTAATACTTGTGAAATATTATATTGTGGTCTATTGATTTACAGTTGTCTATTATCTTTCACTTATGTTCGTTTCCTGTGTTATAAAGTATATAAAACACACTGACATAATATTAATCGTATTTTTACTAGATTGTAATACAAATTTTAATTAATTTAAAATTTAAATTGTTCCATGACTTATGCATACTACGAAGTTTTCTGTGTTGTCAACTGTTCAAAACTTCCCCAACCACCTCGTCCGTTTTAGTTTGTTCTATTCAATACATATACGTGTATAGTCCCCTCTACTCCCTCTTTTTTCCTAATACTCCGCGAGTCCCCGTCTTTTATTGGTCAAAAATTCCGTATCAATACTTTATTTTTAAAAGTAATAAGTACTTAGTAAAAAGTGAAAAGTTAATAATACTCGGGAGGAACAAAAATAAAATAAATTAATAACCATACTTGTTTGAGTAAAATAGCAGCTACCATTCCTAAAATATTGTTATCCAACTTACCTGCAAATAATTAATTTGGTTTTGTATGTGTATTATTGATTTATTTAATTAGACACGCTGCCGATTACTTTAATAAATTATACTGCAGGTGAAGATAACAATTTAAGAGTATTGGCATTTCACGTCAAGTTAAATGAAGAGTTCAAAAGCTTTGACAGTGGCCACTACCAAGCAAACATTTCTAGAACTACGGATGGGACTTTGAGCTACTACTACCCCAATTTAAAGCTGAAACAGGGTGACAATGTTTACTACTGGATGAAAGTCACTTTCGGCAGGGAAATGTGGTACTACATAGTCAAGGGACTTCTGGAAATAAAATGTAAGTTTCTGTAGGCCTAATTAGAAATCTCTTGTCATGTTCTGACGTTTTAAAACGTCATAGTTTAAGCAATGTATCATAGATAAAGCAATATAATTATATAATATAAAATTATATTACTTCGTCTATGATTGTGTTAACAGAATGTTGCCTGTGAACAATAATGTTTCTTGAAATATTTATTAAAATAGTTTTAGGGCTTCAACCACGTATACTCCACCTTGAAATATACATCCTGTTAACATACTAAAATAGTAACAATTTAACAATGAAAACTGTTAGAATGAGCCATTCATAGAATCTGCTGTAGGAAACATAAAACAGAAAACTATTTTAAACCTAATTTTTTATACTATAGTTCGGCCGCTTAGAAAACGACCTGCGCGCTAATGCTAAACCAATGATAGAGGAGGTCGCTTTCTAAGCGGCCGAACTATAGTTGTTCTACCCGTGCTTCGCAATGGGAGAGAAATACTTTGGGAGAGAATAATTTGGTTATCTACGTCTACTGCAAAACAAGTTACACTCACTTACCATGCCAAATTATACAGGCAAACCTCAAGTACTTATTGATTATTTTAAGAGTTAAAACGGGAAAATTAGATTGAACCTTACATTCTCCTGAAGATTGAGAGTCTGGCTCAATTTTACATGTTTATTATTTTTAAAAATACAGTTTTAAAAATAATGTGTTAGTGTTTTGCTTGCTAGTATTTTTGTTTTCATTAATATATTTCACGAAGAATGGAACTTGGCTTTTTGGGTGTAAAAGCTTACATGAGTCTATGATGATTTCCTTAAATAAAAAAAAGGAATTTAATTAATTAATTAAATTCCCGAGAGTTGTTCAAGCAAGTAAACATCTGAGTCCAATCTCTTGAATGTGATAACCACAATATATCTACCACCGACTGGATAAGGTGACATACTAGAAAAAAGAGCAAGACTTTAATTGATTAAAAGACTTATTAGATGAACCTTTACTTTATTATAATGTATTGTTTGCAGTGGGCAACCCTCATAAAGTCATCAATTCTATTGGTACAACTCCAGCCCCCCGACCAACCTATGCCGGACCTTCCGTAGGGAATGGACTGGGAAATCAACCTGTTCGATGGGAGCACATATACTCTATCAACAAGACGTCTGATGTGAGTAAATGTATTTATAATTTTGGGATAGAAACCTTTAGTTACATTAACGTTCATTAAGTGAGATTTAGTATAAACTGCGTGATTTTTGCAACGATTTCTTGATCCCGTGTCACTGTTAAATATTGAAAATTTATTCAAAATCCTTTCGCTATATTTCGTGATATATATTACAGACAGACAAACAGACATAGCTTGTATTAGAGTATAGGATTACATACTTTGCCGGTAACATATGCTCATCGATTATCTAGTGGGGGGGGGGGTCAGAATTCTCGTATGAGACTATTAATTTTGCACCAATTTACATATAATTTTTATTTACAGGATTTACCAGCATTCAATTCTCCAGAAGAAGCTCAACTTTTGAAACACACGTTTGAGGACGATATAGACTTTAAATTTCTTAACCCATCAGGATTGAACATTTTATTTTCAGGTAATATTTTACACTTATTACATGCTGAAATCTCTAACTAATACTGTTTTTGGGTAAAATGATTAATTATATTTAAAATAATAATGTTTGATCTAGGATTATTTTTCGCAGACACACTTAAAAAATTTGCCATCCCTTTTTTTTCACAATTGTCTTCCGTAATCTCTATGAAAGTAAACACTCAATTTAACTTTCGACAATCCAAATGTATTGGTTATCAAAAGTCACAACTGTACTCAACTAATAAACAGATAAAAAAAATACATTTTGTATGTTGCTATGCAAGGTTCTCGTAGTATATGACACATGACTTCAATTAGGCAAGCAACATTTTTAACTAAAGAAATGAAAAAAACATTTAGACTGGGCTATATGATATTTTTAAACTTCAGTGTAGTACGGCAAAATGATATGTCAACTGTATAGAAACATCGTCTGACCGCTGTAAGTGGCTAGCTTCACCTTAATTTACAATTTACTTACTAGTAAAATCCCTAACCAGCCATGAAATATAAATATGGACATCGTAAGTAATCCCATGCACTTTGATAAAGTCCACATAATAGTATTTTCTGAGCGGATATAAGGACATTTTTGATGCTACATTAAACAAAGCTTTTAGTCATAAATTGAGGAAAGTCTAAACAACTTCTAACAATCAGACAACAGATAGAAAAGTCTTACGTAATTAAATTGACAAATATTTTAATCAAAATGGTTTTCAACGCAGGTGAAAATAAAAACTTCAGACTTTTGGCACTGAACATTAAGCTGAACGAAGACTTCGCCACTCTAGGCCCAGGAGACTACGTAGCCAACATTACCAAAGTGAGGGACGTGCAATTGAGCTATTACTACCCGAACTTGAAGATCAAACTAGGAGACACACTCTACTACTGGATGCGCGCAATGCTTGGGAGAGACAGGGCAGATTATATCATAAAAGGACACCTTAAGTTGACGCGTAAGTTGAAGAAATCGCATGGAGTTTAGGATAGACACAGATTGTATGAGTTTCTGACTTTATTATCCTTAAAAATGTACCGGAAATCATGGTTATTTATCACTGAGGTAAAATTATGTTCTAGGCTTAAGATGAGAGACTTTAAATTTGCTCCCCGTGTTATTGGAAAATGTTTAGCATGTTTAGCCGTATGTTTTATGTCTAGTTACGCGAAATAATAGAGTTCGTTACCATTAATTTACTACCACTGTTTATTTTTCAATCTGGAAGTTATAATTACTTACACATGTTGTTTAAGGTTATACCTGTAGTAATATTTAAGTGTCCTTCAACATATATATTTTATCTGGTGTTCAGAGGCACGCCAATATTGCTAAGAGTATTGTTTTAAAATGTTTGCAAACAAGGAAGATATAATCGTAAATCACGATTTGAAAAAAATATTTGTATAATTTTATAAACCAATTTTATACAGTTCTTTCCTCGGCTACAAACATGATCTTTCACTCACAAGTGAATAACTAAGATTGAACAACATGTTTAGCCTCTCAACTCTTTCCTTGTTGACCTCAGATTTTAAAACGTCACGCATTCTGCCATGAACTTAATGACCTAAGCAAACTGGTTTAACAACCGTTCCTGTTCGCAGAGGGAGATCCGCACATCGGAGGACCGGTTCCTGACGTTCCTCCACCAGTCATCTGGACACAAGCACCACCTTCACCAACAGAGCCTTCCGTCTGGACGAACCAGCCATCCCAAGTACAATATCCTGTTAAAGTACCGCCTCCAAACCCTCCTTCGGGAGCGCAAACAAACTCTCCACCTCCGCTAAATGAACCTCTTAAAAGACCAACTCAGCCACCCCTTCAGAACTACCAGAGAGCAGCACCTCTGCCGTTGTCCCTTCCACCAAATTCCCCCATTCCTTGCAGTTCAGGGGTGTACCCAGAAGGAACTTACTGTCAAGACGGAGTGGTCCGTTTCAGGGATGGCGTTCACGAAATCATCGTTGCATAAAATCTGGGTAGGTGAAGAAATGGAATTTGCAGGTCTAGCATTAGGAGGTTTGATTTGAAGTTACTGACCGATAGCACTCAGGACAATTTTGATCTTGATATTTTATATGGAGAAAAGAAAAAGTAGGTGGAAAAAGAACCATAACTATTAAAATGTGCAGCTTTCATTGATGACCATACAGCTTTAATGACTACTGTCACAGCCACCTCTAATAACTGTACTCTTGAAATTAAGTAGTAAAACTACTTTATTTTAACGAACAAGACATGACTTAAATCATCATGGAATGAAACTGCTAAATGTGTTTTACATAATACCCTTATAATTACTTTTTCAACTGTATATTGCTCTAACAACATTATTCAGAGAGTTTTCCTTAGTTGCCAATGCTCAAGGACAACAGACTCACTAATTGCAGCTCACACGACTAAGGATAAATGATGAGCTGATGGGTTTCCTTGTTTCCTTGACAATTACCTTTGGAATTACAGCAATTTAATTTTTCTGGTAGAGACTATTGGCATTTTGGAATCATTAACTTATCCACAACATGATATTTCCTTCTATAAAACATTAATTACTAAAAACAATATTACTTTAGGGTTTGCCGCTACAATGATTGATCTTTTTAGCAATTAATTATGTAGGCGTTTGGAATTAGACATTGAGTTTGTGTATTCACAATTAATTAATGTCTTATTACACAGTTTGTGGTTATTATTTCATGTTCGTAATTACCATTTAATTAAATATGGAGTCCACTCATCTGAAAAGTGTTTCTTTTATTTTTTTTAAACATTATTGCCACCAAGACTGGCTGTACGAAAAATATAATAGGTTACATTATTATATAAATTTTGTATGGTCAAATTTTCAATGATAATCGTGGTTACAAGTACTAGAATGCATACAATAATTTTTTAATGGATTTTTTTCAAACAGTTCTAAAATAGACGTTAAATAAAAATCAATAAATAGTAAATGTAAACATGAAATATACTTTGACCAAACAGTAATATACCTAACATTTTCCCCTTTATTTTAGAGTCAGTTTTACAATTGTGTTAATTTTAATGTCAGGGACAGTCAATGAATAAAAAATTAGGTGTCGGGTTATTTAGTTAAAATAGTTTTACATTTTCTAAACAGCATCAAACAAATGCCACACATCAAAACTCAATGTAGAGGACAGGAAAATATTATAAATGTTGCTCTCTTCATTTATGTCCAACTAACTTAGGTAAAACCAAATAGGCCCCTAATGTTTTTTAAATGAAAGTATACAGGGTGATTGATATAAGTGTGCCAGCCGTTTTATTCGAAAACTATAAGAGATATCAAGAAAAGTTAAATGGTAAGTGCCTTGGATATTTTATTTAAAAAATTGTAGTCAAGTCAAAAAAATTATTTTAGCCGCCATTTTTCCAATATGGCCGCCAACTTAGATTTTTCTTATGGAACACCCTGTATTTTATAATGTATTCTGGTAGAAAATGTAATTTTAAGACGATTTTATTCTTGTAATTTTTTTCATAAACCTAACCGTTTCAAAGATAATAATGGTTAAAGTTTTGAAATTTCTGCAAGAGAATGAGTTTCGATAAAGGCCTAAGCAAGCATGCCAGCTGTTTAATTCGAAAACCATTCAAAATTTCACAGCTTAAACCATTATTATCTTTGAAACGGTTAGGTTTATGAAAAAAATCACAAGCATAAAATCGTCTTAAAATTACATTTTCTACCAGAATACATTATAAAATACAGGGTGTTCCATAAGAAAAATCTAAGTTGGCGGCCATATTAGCAAAATGGCGGCTAAAATAATTTTTTTGACTTGACTACAATTTTTTAAATAAAAAATCCAAGGCACTTACCATTTAACTTTTCTTGATATCTCTTATAGTTTTCGAATAAAACGGCTGGCACACTTATATCAATCACCCTGTATAGTTTTTGTAGTGTATATGATTAATATATGTTTTTTGTAATCTTATTTTGCATTTTCAGATGTTTGGACCGACATGAGACACCCAATGCATCCTTCATTTCATGCACATCAAGAATATCAATAATATATACTTTGTTTTCAAAGTGGTTTTAATTATTTTATTTATTATCAATAAAGGAATGATATCGTTACCTTTCTGAATTGGTTTTAACATTCAACCTAAAGGATTGAATATTTAGGCTACCTGTTTTTTAACCTTTTATAAAGTTCTTTAAAAACCTTTTAAAAAAGATTTAAAATTTCACGTTTGTAAAGCTTACGATGTGTAATAATTTCATATTGGTTTTACTGTTTATGCAATTTTTGTTGAAATTATAAGGAGCTGAAAGCAATGCACTCAGGATAGTACAGTCTACAAAGTTTGTTGACTATTTCAACAACAATAATAATTATATAAAGTTAAAAAAAACTGTACAACCCAACAAAACGATGGAAATAGAATTATTTTGTCAACACTTTTAGTATTAACAGCTAAATAATACATTTAATTATACTGACAGCTGTCAGGGTGTTTAGCAGTTCTCTTCTTAGTTACCATGAATTGCAAATAAATGGCTGGTTAGTGGTTACTCTTAACAAATTCAAGAGTTGTATTCATTTTTTATTAAATATAATTTCAGTAAACTCGAGGGCCATTTACCCAAAAAATAAAAAAAATATACATTTGTTATTAAATTTATTTCTTGCTTGATTACTGTAGTACACTTTTAAAACCATTTTAGTCAAAAATATAGCATGCAAATATTTTTTCCGTTTATTTCTTCATTTAGTACGTAGGGAGCACACCCTCCACTATATACGATGATTTAGCAATCATATACATTTTTATACTACACTGTTATGATTGTTAAAAATTTGTTTTTGCCAACACTGCAAACTAACAGCTGGACGTTAAGTGTTAAGTAGTATTGGTGTAAAAGGGTAAATTAATACCTCCATATTAAGATATTATTGACTTTTTATGCATTTAGACAAAAAAAGTATATATTCATTGTTTTAGTCGATTTCCCGATAGTTAGATTTTCTATGTTTTGAACTAATGTTTGCAGAATAACTTTTTTATTTTTCAACCTACAGTGTTCATATTTGGGGCTCTTATCTTAGATAATATACTCTATAATGTACAAACTGTAACATATAAAAAGTCTTATAATAAAAATATATTTTTTTACGGCATTTTGTTTTAGGGATTTTCAAACGAAACACAAATCATCCCTAATATCCCAACATTTTATCTTGTATCTCACTCACAAAAACCACATTATTCTTTTTATTTAACAATTTTTCAGAATTAAGTTTACAAGTAGTTTCTATATTTTTTTGTATTGGCTCGTTCAATTGATTATTTTTAAAAACCTAGTAAGAATTAGGTAACACTAATTTTAAAACAATGCAATCATTAGATGATTAGGGTTTAGAAATCATGTGTCTATATCATGGTAAATTCTTTAACGGTTAAGTGATTTTTCATGTTTAAGTAGTGGAAAGTATATTTTTCAATGTAGCTTAAGCATGTTCCATGAATATGACAGTTTCTTTGTTTTAATTTCCTCAGTATGAACACATGATCACACTACACACAAAAAAGTTCATTGTCAAAGATAGTCAATTTTCTAGTAAAAAAGGTCCAACTTTATTGTCTTGCCTTTGACAATATACTATACATTTAAAATCTATTGAAACCTTCTACAACACACATAATCATACTTAAATTCAAATCACATGTAGTAACATAAATTAGCAACGTTCAGTCAAATACTTTGAAAAAGGAAAGTCATTATACACCGTGTCCCAAAAAAAAAAAAAAAAAAAAAAAAAAAAAACACACAAAAAAACAGAACAATTTTAAATTGTTATACAATACGTCCAGGCATACCTAGTATATTTTGAAGGTGATCATATGATAACTGAGCTCATAAAGTTTTGTTCAATATCAATTTTAACTATCAGCTGATTCATTGCTCTCGCTTGAACCTTGAAATTTCAAAACATTGCCCTGTCATTAAGCAGGCACCATGAACGCACGAGAGAAAGCGCAATGCGTTGAGTGGTACATTCAAAGTAAGTCAGATATTGCAGTGCAAAAGAACATTGGAAGTTATGGTCGACGTCCGCCATCTCGGAACAGCATTCGAGCCTAGTATGACAAATTTATGTTAACTGGAAGCTTACAACATTTAAAGGGTAAAGGTAGGCCAAAAACCAAAATGAATTGATTGAAAACGTGCAACAATTATTTCTTCACGACCCTCGAAAGTATGTTCGCTGAGTAAAATTGTATCTAAAATCTAAAACAATCATAAAAGACAGAGTGTTCCGTAAGAAATTTTAAAGCTGCCGCAAAATGGTGGCCATTTTTGAAACATTGGTATTCATATTTTTTATGTCATTAAAAACTAGTTGAAATGCATCTTTAATGTTCTCTCTATACATCTAATAGTTTCTGAGATATCAATGGTGACACAGTTAAGTTGTTCACCCTGTATTTCGAATTATTAGCCCCATGTTAAATCTCCATAACCCATTTTTTTACCTTTTTGGTAGCCTAAGGTGTCTAAAATTACTTATCTCCTAAAAAAAAGAAAAATGTTACATCCAAGTAAAATAAATCAATAGATCAGGAATTTACCAAACATTCTAAAATGCTCTAACTGCTATAGATCCTACATTGGACAAACAAATTTAAGTTTCAAATAGCATATACAAGCCTTAAAATTAGGAAACTGAACAATGATGAATTTTAAGAACATTTGACATGACATGAATTCAAAACGTGAATGAAAAACATAATATTCTATATACAGTACTATAAAATACCCTCGCCGCAGCAAACCTACAGACCACGAATACTTGAAAAGAACCAGTATGGATCATAAACCTAAACAAATTACGTTTTTGGCCCGAAAAAATTATTTAACATTGCTTAAATGGAACTGCAAAAACATATGTTAATGCTATAGGATTCGGGCCAACAACGTCATTTGTTTATATTTATTATCAATACCGGGTTTTATTGTAGTAGCCTATTTGTGCTACAGACTATAGTTCAAGCAAATAGGTCCAAATAAGAACCCAATTTTTTCAAAAATGTGTCATGGAGGGTCCCCTAATGAATATATGATAGGTGAGAATAAAATCACCCTGCCGCTCTCTGGTGGTGGGAGGTGTAAATGCCCCAATTTGCGGTTTTTTGCTTATAACTTAAAAACGGCGTGTAGTAGCTTAAATTGTTAAATGTAAAGGTTAAAGCTTATTAAATTTTCTACAACTTTGATCGTATACATTATTAGTGAAAGACGCATAGTTTCTGAGATATCCGTGCTCAAAAAAATAAAATAATGTTAAAAAAAAGTTTCCATCTCACATTTTTTGTTAAAATCTTATTTGTTTCTCCTTCTCTGTTATTTTTCAAAAATATTGACGGAAAGAAGGTTGTAGATAATTAAATTTACTTCAATAGTATATAAAAATATGTAAATAGATAAGATGTATAAAGTTACAGTATTTTTTAAGATTAAAAGATAAAATTATTAATTACACAAATAGTCGCAAAGTTTTGATTTTTTATCATTGCACGATTTGTATAGTTTCTGATAATTGTTTAGGACAAATATAAGTATATTTAAGGAAAATATTGGTAATAGTTATGTAAATAATAATTTGACAAAATAAAAAGGTTATCTATAAAGGTAGTAAAGGTTATTACGGCGATCCAAGTTAAAACAATTAAAACATACAAAATAAATTCATACTTAATTATATAACTAATGTTGACTAAGACTTTGTTCTTTCAAAAACAAAGGCTAAGGTAACATTAGTTCTATAATTAAATATTCTAGTTCTTGCCACTGAGAAATACATCACAAATTCATGTTATGATAAAGATTGATCTTATTCTTTTCATTCTCTTCTTCATTCTCTTCTTCATCATCATCTTCACATTGTTGTTGCATGGTTCAGGCAAGCTCCCTCGCAGGTACATACCTGGGAACAGTGGATGCCGTTTTTTCTGCACCCACACCTGGATCCACATTCAGTAGGCTCAATCAACATTAGTTCTATAATTAAATATGAATTTATTTTGTATGTTTTAATTGTTTTAACTTGGATCATCAAAATAAATAGATAACATTTTATTTTGTCAAATTGTTATTTACATAACTATTACCAATTTTTTCCTTAAATATACTTATATTTTGCCTAAACAATTATCAGAAACCATACAAATCGTGCAATGATAAAAAATTAAAACTTTGCAACTATTTGTGTAATTCATGATTTTCTCTTTTAAAAACGCTGTAACTTTATACCTACATCTTATCTATTTATATATTTGTATATACTATTGAAGTAAAATTAATTATCTACAACCTTCTTTCCGTCAATATTTTTGAAAAATAACAGAGAAGGAGAAACAAATAAGATTTTAACAAAAAATGTGAGATGGAAACTTTTTTTTAACATTATTTTATTTTTTTGAGCACGGATATCTCAGAAACTATGCGTCTTTCACTAATAATGTATACGATCAAAGTTGTAGAAACTTTAATAAGCTTTAACCTTTACATTTAACAATTTAAGCTACTACACGCCGTTTTTAAGTTATAAGCAAAAAACCGCAAATTGGGGCATTTACACCTCCCACCACCAGAGAGCGGCAGGGTGATTTTATTCTCACCTATCATATATTCATTAGGGGACCCTCCCCGACACATTTTTGAAAAAAATTGGGAATACATAGATTTGTTCCTCTATTTTTCCTAATTTGCTTGGGCTATAAGCATATTTCCATTTGCCTGATTTGATTTTCACTTTTATCTATTTAATTAAACAAAATAACATTAATTTTAATGAGTATATATGTGACAGTTAATTTTTGTTTATGCTCTTGGGTGAAAGTAAGTAAATAAATAGATTTTTAAGAACAGTTTATTATTGAACAAATATAAAAGTTACACAGGATAAAGCAGCTTACATGCACCATATATACATACTTGATGCAGCAAAGTAAAAAACTGTTTTTCCAACTATCAAATAACGTCACCAATCATCATATCCACAGACCAAGCGACGCAGTTGTGCGACATACATCCCTGTAGACCACTGCAGATAATTCAGTGCCTTCAAATAG